TTCCCCCTCACTAACTACCTCAAATGACTTCCCAAACAATAGTAATGTATCCCCTACCTTCCCTTTATCACATTACCCCCAATCCAAACAAGCCCTTAGGTATAAGGGTGGGGTAAGCCCAAAATGACCTTATACCCACCAAGCACAAACATTAGCTTAAATAGAAGTTTTTGTCTTTTATCTTTCACTATACTTTATCTCATTGATTTAGCCTTATAATCATTTTGAGTCCTAGTTGGTATAAGGGCACATTAAAAATCCTCTTATGCGAAATAACCTTATGCTTATATCAAATAGTCCCTTCAAGATTCACATGAATATTATAGAGACCCATCTAACTGCACACAAAAAAAGAAAAATTACCTTCTCAGCTTCCACCACAATCATAAGACGACCAAGAATCTCATGATCAGACAACCTTGAGAACCTAACTAGTGCACATCTACTCTGAATCGGCTCGATGATCTTGGACGAAGTGTTGCACGCAAGAGCAAACCTAGTAGAGTTCGAGTAGATCTCCATGGTCCTCCTCAATGCTTGTTGTGCTCCAGAAGTCATGCTACAAATTAATTTCAACAATAAAACATAATAAACAACAGAAAAAAATCCAAGTTTACACTGCTTTCAACAACAAAAAACCTCCCATCAAGTCACCTGTCGGCTTCGTCTAGAATTATAACCTTGTGGCGACCCGGCGGCAAAGTCACCTTCTTCTGTGCAAACATCTTGATCTTGTTCCTCACAACATCTATCCCCCTGCAGAAACCAAATCAAAAATAAAAATTACGGCAACAAGATTAAAAGCAGGGCCACTTGCATTTTATACCCCAAAGTTTCACCCTTTTTTACTTCGAAACCCCGAACTTCTGTCCTGACAATTTGATACCTAAAGTCCTAACCTTGTTCCCCACTTGTTCCAAACTCACAAAAAAAACCCTTAAATTTCGCAACAAAATTGCTTCCTATGCACTTTTATACTATAATATTCTCGAATAAAACTAAAACTAGAACCTTGGGACATCAAAGTTAAAAAAAACGGTGAACCCTTGGCGTATTAAAGTGTAAATAACATTTAGAATTATAACAGAAATATTAGGAAATTCCTATACCTATCATCTGATGCGTTGAGTTCAAGAACCCCCTCCTTGAAATTAGGGCCAAGTAGCTCATGAGCTAGGGCAAGAATGCTCGTGGTCTTCCCGGTCCCCGGCGGTCCCTGCAAATCAAAGCAAAGCTCAAATCGAGTCTCTGGTAGTAATTTCAAGGGGGAAATTATAAACTTTCAAAATTTAGGGGTTTTTTTTTCTAAATTTACCGAGAGAATGAGATTGGGCATGTTGCCGTCGCGAGCGATGACCTGGAGGCGGGAGAGGGCGTCGCCATTGCCGACGACGTCGGCGACTTTGGTCGGCCGGTACTTTTCCACCCATGGGATCTCGTAGTAGCTGATGGAGGACGAGGAGGAATAAGCAGCCATGAAAGCGATCGGAGAGGAGAAAACCCTCGAGAGTTATGGAGGGAAATTCTTGGAGGAAAGAGAAAGGAGCTTGGAGGTTTTCGGGGAGTGTTAATGGGCCGACTGTTGCGAAACTTTTGGGCTTAGGTGGGATAGCAACTGAGAAGGCCACTTATGAGACACATAACAGGTGGCCCGTTTGTAGCCTGCTGCCACTTAAAAGTGGTTGAAAAAGGGCTAAATTGCTCTTAAGGGGCTGTTTGGTTGGTTTCCTAAAATTAAATATAAAGAAAATAGGATCCCGGAAACCATTAAAACTTGATTTACATCCATTTTTATCCTTAAAAATTATCCACATCATTCAATAATATGGTGATAACTTATCTCATCTCATCTTCTTTCTTACTTTTAAGAATGAACCAAATACAAGAAATGAGTCACATCATCCATCCTATCTCATCTCATCTTTAAAAATGAGTCACATCATCTAATAATATGGTGACAACTCATCTCATCTCCTTAAAAAATTATTTCCATCCATTTCCTCAAAAAAAAAATCATGAAATGGGTTTTCTAAAGATGAGTCACATCATCCGATAATATAATGACAATTTATCTCATCTCATCTCTTTTATTAGCTTTAAGAATAAACCAAACACAAGAAAAGAACCTATTATAGAAAATAAATTTCTTATAATTGATTTCCTTGTTTTTTTAGCCAACCAAACAACCTAAAAACAAGTCATGAAATTTGTTTCTTAAAAATTTACTCGCATCATCCATTAATATGGTGACAACTCATCTCATCTCATCTCCTTTCTTACTTTTAAGAAGTAAACCAAACACAAGAAAAGAACCTATTATAGGAAATATGTTTCCTTTTCTTTGATTTCCTTTTTTTTAGCCAATCAAATAGCCCCTAAATGCCTTGTTATTTCTCAAAAATGCAGTTATATACCACAAGTTTCAAACCGAAGTAAAAAATATCATCAGTTATAAAAAAATATTTGCTACATTCTATCAACCAGACATGAAAATATGCTTAGAATATTCCCACGTGCTACTTCATTTAAGTGCAAATTACCTTTATTTGGTGTATTAATTACAATTCTACCAACCTTATAAGTATCATTCCTTCTCTTCTTCTTCATCTTCTTCTTCCTCTTCAAAATTTAACTATTTTGCTTCAGGTTAAAACCCCAGAATTAGGACCTAATTCAGCTCGTCAACTCCAAATTAGCCTGCTCTCGCTCATCTACAATGGCTAGAGTCAATCATTAGAGACATAAAACCCTAACTTTTAGTTGTAGATCTTTTTTTTTGGAGGGGGGGTGGGGATTTTAGGAAACTTGGTGGTATTAGTAAAGCTTGGGATTTTCTTTATTATATAGGGGGCAAAAGGGATTTACGTCTTTTTGGGAATGCTGTTGAGCAAATTTACATGGCGAACAACTTAGGGTGTTTTTTGCTCAGTATTAAAACATAGGGTATATGAGTTTGTTGGGAAACAATTGAGTATTTAATTGAAATTTAGCCTTAGAAAATGGTGTACTTTACAAAATAATGATCACACGTAAGAGTCTGCTCGGTTGCACGTATCTTAAAAGAAAAAGTTAAAAGTGTTGTGCACAACAAGAGATTAGATCACAATGAAATTCTCGCTTCTCAAAGGAAACAAGAACCAAAAGCCAGATATCTCATCAAAGTGAGATATCAGCTCTTCCTCTCGTCAGCTCTAGGACTGCGCGTCGAGGGAACCTACAAGCTATTACAAATCACGGTAAGAACACAAATTTTACGTGGTTCGGCAAATAGCCTACGTCCACGGGGCAAGGAGGGGGAGATCTACTATTAGAGGGAGAGATTCAACTAGGGTTTACAATCACTCAATCTAAACCCTCACACAAACTCTCAGATCCCTCACAATATCTCTCTACAAAGGATGCACAAAACCTTAGAGAAGGACTGCTCAAACACTCCTAGATGCTGCCTGCGATTTTCTCCTACAGCCGAAAAGAATCCCCGCAGCAAAAATTCTCCTCGCACGCCGCCTGCAGCAAAAACCAGCCGCAAATCTCTCCTCTGTGCGTTTTATTTTTCCAAACCCCTCACTTCGCTCTTTCACCCCCGAAACCCTAGGCAAATAGAGTTTTTATAGGCTAATGTGTCGGGTGGGCCTTTTTCCGCACCTGGCATCTTTCATTTACTCGTGACCCCACTAACTTCACGTGTTCGCAATTCTCCACCTCGGCGAAGTTTTTCCAAAACTGAGCCGACACTAACCAAAACAAATGTCTCACTTGTTGTATCCAGTACGTCATGGCAACAGACTCATGACAACAGACTCCATCCACAACAGGTCGAGACCCAAACGGGAGTGCGAACACTCAACCCAAACCAAATAGTGTCTACTCACCAAATCAAACTGAGCCTACACCGATTACACCAAATGCCTCACTTGCTGAGACCCAAATGGGAGTGCAAACACTCACCCCAAATGTCGATGTCGCTCACCAAATCGATCTCACCCCCATCAACTAATCCAAACCCGGCTGCATCATAAAGACTGCCTACGTATCCTCTTGCCCAAGGAATCAAGCCGAACGTAGTTCACCCCAAATGGCCTCCAAAGGCCCTCAAACAAATAGAAAAGTCTGCAACTCTTCTTCAATATCACCAAACGATCTGCAACTGATAGCACTCTCAATAGCTCCAAATTGAGACAAATCAAACACCTCCATCTGAGGTGAACCAATGGCCGTATCCAAATTAAGTCCATCACCTGCAATCGAATCCAACTTATCATCTGCATCTAAATCCAAATGATCCCCAATCTGTGTCACCTCAGCTGGAATCCCAAATGATACAGTATGATCTAGAGTCTCCACCCAACGTGGAGTAGCATCACTCTCCACCCGCTGCGATGTCCCAAAGATCTGATCACCACTCTCCACCTGCCGAGAGTTAAACGTGACATACCTGCTCAGAACAAAATCAGAAGCCAATACCTGATAATCAAACACGTCTCTGACTCCCAAATGTGCTATCGGATCAAATCTCACATCCACGATGTGACCAAGTGCTGGGTAGCCAAACATCCGATGCAACCTAAAATCTAAAGTAGCTTCACCAGATCCAAAATCTCTACATGCAGCAGTCGGCAACCTATGTATAAGATGGCACAAACATGTCGTAGCCTGCACACCAATGCCAATGCTCGACATCAAACGCCGATCCTCCTCCAGAAAGGAACAGCTCCACAAATCTGCCATCTCGCCTCGTCGCCTCAAAGTTTCCATACCAATGAAGTGTCTCCTATTGCCGTGAGCTCGGTACAAATGCAGAAATAGATCCCTCTTGTACCTTCCTCTAACATCAGACTGAAATACCTTCACCTTTCTGCCAATACACTTTCTCTATTTGTTGCGGGCTTCTAGGACTTCACACCAACGGGACTTGGTTGCAACCCATCAATGCCTAAAGCAATCCCCAACTACGGAAACCACATATCTATTACCTCCCAATGATGCTCCCTTGGAAGGCCCCCGAATGCCTGAATAAACATCCATCAAAAGACCCCTCGAATGATGGATAGAAGTGCCAAACTCCACACCGGTCTTCTCGCTCATACCAATGGGTTCACAGGACTTCAAACTGCAGGTCAAAGCACTCCTCAATAATCTATACACAACATTTCCAATCAAATAACCCAGCATCAAACAACGCCACAGTCTAGCCGAATCTCGGAACCATCAAGCGAGCAACCTATGGTAGGGTTCGGACAAGACTCCCTTCAGAAGATGAAGAATCTGATGCCGGCTCCGCTGTTGCATCTGATAATACGGTATCTAGCGAGGGACAACCCCGCGAGGCACTTATGATAAGTACGGAGCAAGTGGCCAAAATGCTTGAAGACGCCTAGCCGAATCTGATGAAGTCGTCATCTCCTTATCAATCGCCGTGCTTCCGAGCAAATAATACAAATTGCTCCTTCTGACACCCTTCATCACAATCATGGACCCAATGTGACCTTCAAACGTGCATCCACCAAGTTCACTTTATAGCCAGATGCCACCAAAGCTCCTAGTGAAATGATGTTCTTCGACAACTGCAGAACGAACCTCACTTCTTCCAACTCCCGCACCATCCCGTCACTCATCTTAATCCGAACGGTACCAATACCACTAATAGAGCATGCATGTCCATTACCCATGAGCACAACATCCTCTCTTTCCAACTTCTGAAAGCTGGAGAACCAATCCCTCCTAGGGCAAACGTGGTATGAAGCACCCGAATCCAACATCCACTCTGTAGAGTTAGCAACACAAACTGACGGTAGTGCAAACAACGAATAGCCCGAAGAATCCGAATCTGAATTGTTGCCACTAGTCTTGACAACATTCACCTCTGAAACTTGTACAGCTTTTCCCTTATTCTTCTCGGCTCGATCTAACTTTGGGCATTTGGCTTTCCAATGTCCATCCTCTTTACAAAAGGAACATTGATTCCTACGAATCCCACGATGTGCACCTCTAGACCGCGACCTCCTGCTTCGGTTTGAACCACGACCATGAACTACTAATGCATCTCCCGATGCCTTCTCGGAGGACTCATCGACACTCTTCCTCAACTCATAATTCACCAACGCTGAGGTCACCTCCTTATAACTAACAGTAGTTCTTCCATTAATCATAGTTAGGACAAAAGTACCATAATCATCCTCGGGCAACGACACATTGGCCATGTCTGAAAGTAGCTTTGTGAAGTTGTTAACATGCTCCCTAATGGAAACTCCCCTCTTCATCTTGAACTTGTAAAACCTCTTCTTCAAGTGAAGTCGATTCTCAATGCTCTTAGTAAGATACTTTTCATAGAGTGTTTCCCACATCTTCTTCGCCGACGTCTCATTCATCACGTCATAAATAAGATCCGGCGTCAAGCATGATCGAATAACTCCACACGCCCTACTATTCATCTTCTTCCAAACCTTAGCTTCCATCTCGCCCATGTTGTCGATCTAATCTTCAAATAAGAATCCTTCAGCAAATCCTTCAAACAAGCTCCCAAGTCCAACCCGGAGCTCTGATACCACTTGTTGTGCGCA